TCTTCTCAATTAATATATTAGCACCTGCTTAGAGTTAGTTTAGGGTCAATGGAATTCAAGGGAGGTTGGACTTAATTTGCTTGAGACTATGTAGGGATTACTGATCCTTCTTTTTACCTTGACCCACAGGTTCTGCCACTCCTTCTCCTACAACCAACCAATTGAGATATTTTAGCTCTATTTAAATTCCTGCACAGAGTCTCAAAGCTGGGCTGATCAGGAAATAGCAATAGCAGTAAGCACTCAGACTTATATATCACTTCATAGTGCTTCACAGCCCTCTCTAAGTGATTTACAGAGTCAGCATATTGCCCTCAACAATCTGGGCCCTCATTTTACTGAGCTCGGAAAGAATGGAACCCTGAGTCAACCTTGAGCTGATCAGGATCGAACTGCCAAACTGCTGGCAGCTGAATTACCCTACAATACTGCATTCTAACCACTGGCGCCACTAGGGCTCACTGTAGATATCTAAATCAACCTGGCTGAAATTGGATTTGAGTCATTCTGATGTTTCCATTTCCACCAAGATTTTTTTTTAAATCAGAACCAGCTGAAGACAGCATCCATAGTTGACCCCTTTGCCATATTTTGTCCTAGATGAGTACTTCTGCACTGGCTGTATCTATCATTTTATTTTATATAATGGTGTATTTTCTGATTCTAAGGATTGGTTAAGCTTTAATCTGTAGCCAGGTTTTACTTATTTATTAGATTTATATGATCAATGTTCTTACCAAACATGACTCTATTTTTATTTATTTGATTTATTTGATTTGTCAATCGCTTACAAAATAGTAGGTATAAGTATAAACATGAGTAAGAATACAGAAAATAGGTATGATTAAATGGGGACAATAGGACAGGGACGGGAGGCATGATGGTGCACTTATGCACGCCCCTTTGCATGTGTTCTTTTCAGGCTGGTCATTTGCTATTTCCAGGCCGGCCCTGTGGGCCAGATTTAAGCACCCCCGCACACCAGATCCATCCCTCATGCCTTCAGTTTGACACCCCTGATCTATAAGTTTGAGCCTTGTGGTTGCATACTGTGACCAAGTGCCACTTGGTCACAGTTTTAAATAAACTTATTTGCCATCTATGCCTTGTTCAGAATTACTTCTTAAGAATGTGCTGGTGCATGTTTTAGAGTACATCGAAAGCCATGCCATTTTGTAGGATGACTTGCATACCCTCTCTTCCTAAAAAGGTGACTTTTATATGCATTCTTCTCTCTAATACTTATTTTAATTTTTCCCAGATATTGCCAAGGATATGAAGTCAATAACTATTTTCAGTTTTTTCACAAAAGCATCCATGGTTTGTCCACTGGAGGGAGCCATTGTATAAATAAAAAAGAAAGAAGCATGCAATGTAATTGGGGTAAAAAAGTATTTGAAAGAGGCATAGTAGCTGATTTTGCAAGGCTTGCTCTGCTGCTTCAAGAGCTATCCCTGACTAGCTTTATATTTTATTGATTTATTTATTTGACTTGTCAATCACTTACAAGATAATAGGTATAAGTATAAAACATGAGTAAGAATACAGGAAATAGGTATGAATAAATGGGGACAATAGGACAGGGATAGGAGGCATGATGGTGCACTTATGCACTCCCCTTACAGACCTCTTAGGAATGGGGTGAGGTCAATAGTGGTTAGTTTGAGGTTAAAGGAGTGGGGGTTAGAGGATGTAACAACAGAGTCAGGTAGTGCATTCTAGACATTGACCACTCTGTTGCTGAAGTCGTACTTTCTGCAATCGAGTTTGGAGCAGTTTAACATTGAGTTTGTATCTGTTGCGTGCTCTTGTATTGTTGTGGTTGAAGCTGACGTAGCCATTGACTGGTAGGACATTGTAGCAGATAATTTTCTGTACTACGCTTAAGTCCAACCAGTTCAAGGTTTTCCAAGCCCAGAATCTCAAGCCTGGTGATATATATAGGGTATTCTGTTGCAAGAGAGGAGTGTAGTACTCTTCTCGTGAAATACTTCTGGACATTCATAGCCTCTTTGCTTCTCTTGGGATCCAGGCAAAAGCGCCCTATCTCTACATATAACTTTGCATGGTGGAGCTGAACTCAAGGGAAGTTTTACTGTTTTATTCAGAAACACTGGTAAGAAGGCAGCCTGGCTGTGAGGAGCAGCCAAGAACTTTCCTAGCAAACGTTTGGCCAGACTGAAAAACAGGAGGTGTTTGGATTCTTCTGGGTTTTGGGCATTAGCCGAGAACAGTCTGCCCAATTATTGTTGCTGCAAATATATGCAATTGCAAGCATAGAAAGGAATATGCATTGGTTATTTTTGCAGTCATGCAGGTAGAATGCATATGATATAGCGAGATAGATTGATCCAAAAGTGTTTCCCAATAGTTACTAGCTTGTTGTTACTGTTTTCTTTACCCTATTTCCACCCCAGGAAGAATGGCCCAACCTGGTGTGTTTTAGACTAGAAAATAGTGGCTTCTGGGATTTTGTGTTAGGATTGCCATAAAACTGTGGCAGAAGAAGCGAAATAATTAATGGACAGTATCAGAGCCCCAATGCTTGATGACTACGCAAAGCTTTGCTTGATGACGAAACAAAAAGTTGGTCACAGATTTTCCCACTCAATGTTATTCTCTCTCTCTCTCTCTCTCTCTCTCTCTCTCTCTCTTTCTCTCTCTCTCTGTCTCGCTATCTATCTATCATTATCTATCTACCGTCTACCTATTATCTTCTTTCTTTCTTTCTTTCTTTCTTTCTTTCTTTCTTTCTTTCTTTCTTTCTTTCTTTCTTTCTTTCTTTCTTTCTTTCTTTCTTTCTTTCTTTCTCCGTCCGTCCCTCCCTCTGTCCCTCCCTCCGTCCCTCCCTCCGTCCCTCCTTCCCTGTTTCTCTCTCCCTCCTTTACTCTCTCTCTCTCTCCATCCCTCCATCTCCCTTTCCTCCCCTTCTCTCCCCCCCCCTTCATATTTATATAGCCACTCAACTCACATCCAATGACTCCAGATGGAATACGACATTATTGCAAAAATATAACCAGACAATCCATTTGATAATCTCCAAATGGGGTCCCCAAGCTCACTGAAAAAAAACCCACGTCTTTAAGGCCTTGAGGGAGAGCAACAAGGCAGGAGAGCAATCTTATCTCTGAGGGAATGATGTTCCAAAGGGAGGGGGCCACTGCAGAGAAGGCCTTTTTCTCTATGTCCCACCAGATGTACTTCTTTGATCGCTGGGACCTGCAACATGCCCTTCTTTCCTCCTCTGGAGGGCTGGGCATTGGAGGGTAGGCAGTCCTTCAAATAACCTGTCCACAAACCATGTAGGCCCTTAAAGATAATAACCAGCAACATGAATGTTCAGAACTTGCCTTGCAGCATAATGTCATCTTTTCCATTCAGAGGAATGAAAGTCTTGACTTAGCCAAGCTGAGATGTATTATTATTATTATTATTTTTTATAAAGTTAATTATTCAATGTTTTAACAACTAAAAACAAATTTCCACACATTGCAACATTACTAAAGCAGTGTTTACATTTGTAAGTATCTTCTATTAACGTGTTACACATCTCTGTATTTGCTTCTTCGTCATTCTAGGAATTTTATACAAATATACATTTTATTGACATTTATTTACATGTAGACCTTATTGTTTTATACAGGGGTGGGATTCAAACATTTTAACAACCGGTTCTGTGGGTGTGGCTTAGGTGGCGGGCGTGGCTTGGTGGTCATGTGACTGGGTGGGTGTGGATTGGTGGTCATGTGACTGGGTGGGCATGGCTTGGTGGTCATGTTATTGGCTGGGCGTGGCCAACTCAATATCACTCACATCGAGGCACGCATCTCCTCACCTGGCCTCTCATGAGTGTGGGGATGTTGCAACAGTCGTAAGTGTGAAAAATGGTCATAAGTCACTTTTTTCAGTGCCATTGTAACTTTGAATGGTCACTCCACACAACCATTGTACCAGCAAAGGAAGAAAAAAAAATTCCAGAGAAGTTCCTGAGACAGGAAGTCTAGTCCTGCCAAGAATGTAATAAGAGTTAATGGAGAGGCAGTTTCTGGAAGCAACACCAGAATGTTTCCTTCCTGCCTTCCTTACAGGATTAGGCCAGTAATTTCTTCTAACAACCGGTTCTCCGAACTGCTTAGAATGTTAACAACCAGTTCTAGTGAATAGGTGCGAACCTGTAGAATCCCACCTCTGGCTTTATAGTATTACATAGATTATCATTTGACGCCTTCATGTCATTTTCTTATCCATTCATACCAAACATCCCATATTTTATAATATTCTCTTTCTTTCTTATCCTTCAATAGCTTCATTAATCTATCAATCTCTGCGCATTCATATACCTTATTAATTACTGTGGCTTCTGGGGAAGTCATAGCCTGCTTCCAACTTTGGGTGAAAATGATTCTGGCAGCCGTTATGATATGGAGCATCAGATATTGGTGTTTTCTGTTCGTGTTAGGTTCTAATATGCCTAATAAGAAAATTTCTGGTTTCAATTTTATTCTCTGTTTCGTAATTTCCTCTAACCATGATCTGATTTTTTGCCAGTATCTCCGTGCGTGGGGGCAATTCCACCACATATGGAAGTATGTTCCCTGGTTATGGTTACATGAAATTCATTTTTATGTGGGTCACACAGTCAACCAGGTGTTCAGAATGGATTTGGCATAGTTCCTAACAGGCCATGTACCAGGGATTGGAGACCCTTGTATTAAATTTTTCAAAAGCTTCACTTTTTAAATCTCAGCCTCATTTTGCTCTTGGATGCTCAGATAATGGGCATTGTACTTTAAATGCCAGTAAGGTTATTTTTCCAAAATGGAAGGGGAATCTGACTAGGTCAAAACTAGGACATTAATTGATATGAACATTAGGTTAATCAATGTCATGGAACAAGATCCATATAATCTCTGCTCTTTATAGAAGCTGCTTGGTGCCATTTGGCTTCCTTAATGACAAAAACTTCTTTCTCTTCCTCTTTCCAGCAATGCTACTCCTGGAGAACACCAGAGTAGAATCCAGGTAAGACAGAGAAATCAAGCAAATGTTTATGCAAATCTACTGAAAAGAAACTCCTGTTAAATTAGATGGCATTTTTCTGCAAATAGAGATAGTTATGTATCATGCATCCAATATCCTTAACCTACACTGGATTTCACTTCCATAATTTTGAATGATAGAACCCGTATTTGCTAACAAAATGGAAACATAATTTTAGTGCTGCTACTCATAATTTAGTAAATGTGCCAACTCTTTGACAGTTTCTGAGGAATGCTGCTCTAGGCTCTAAGGGTATGAATGAATCCCACTGAAGTGAATTTTTTTAAAAATTATGGTTAGGTATATGGAATCACAGTATAATAATTTATCTTAGTTTTGGGAATTGTGCTAAAATTACTAAGTTAACTGAGTTAATTGATGTCATTGTTGGTCATTTGGAACTTCATGCATTTGATTATACCCCCAAACTGGGATATTGATCACCCTCAGAAAGGAAACTATTATTCTCAAAGTTGCCTTTAGTCAGAACAGGAATCCAGACAACTAGAAAGTGGCCAAGAATGATAATTTTCAGTGTCTCTCTCTCTGCTGCCATTGAATGGTTATCTGCATTATTACTGGCCAGATTTGATAGTACTGTACTTATTTTGTTTTTAAAGGTATTCAGTAGTACTGTACTTATTTCATTTTTAAAGGTATTCAGTGCATTTGATGAAAATGAGGACAATTGCTTTGACTACACCACTACTCTTTTTTAACTCATCCCTTCCCCCAATAATGCTTCTTTTTAAATGTGGCTATTGGCTAACTACAAGCCTGTTCATCTTCCTTCTTCAGCAAATGTTTCCTACAGGGCAGATGATCCAGGGCTTCTCTTCACTGTCTTTCTTTTATGCCAGGATTCCCAAAGGTTCTGCCTGGCCTTTCAAGCCGGGGATCTCTGTCTAGATTACAAAATGGCTTCCGATGACATGGCAGACAGCACTAACAAGACCAGTTCCAGGTGAGCCTGAAGCTTGTTTGTGGATGGCTTGGCCTTGGCCTGAATAAAAGGATAAACATCTTTTACTATATGTAAGTGGAGACTATTGGCCAAGGATGCAATCAAGATCTTATAGATCCTTTTGTGATAGAATGTAGCAAAGAGGTATCCCAAAGGTGCTTTTTCAAGAGACAACTGGACCTTCTGGTGGGTTGTTTTTTCCTGTGAAGGTATTTCATTTCTCATCCAAGAAGCTTCTTCAGCTCTGACTGGGTGGTGGAAAATGGAAGGATTTATATTCCTTGCAGACAGCTGGTTATTTGCATTCTTTTAGAAAGTCATTAAGGCCACCTGGAGGTTTATCTGTGTCATCAGGGTCACTTGAATAGTGCAAATGGGTGTGTAGCCTTCTTGGAATTGTTGAAAGGACTGTGTTGTAGACTGGAGATAGATGATGTCGTATCCCTCCTTTTTTGTCCATTTGCATTATTCAGATGACCCTGATGACACAAATCTGATGACATAAATCTCCAGGTGGCCTCAATGACTCTCTAAAATAATGCAAATGACCAGTGCCTGCAGGGAGTATAAATCCTTCCATTTCTCACCATTCAGTCAGAGCTGAAGAAGTTTCTTAGATGAGAAGCAAAATGTCTTCAAAGAAAAACCAAAAAAAGTCCAGTTGCCTCTTGAAAAAACACCTTTGGGACAACCATGACCTGGATAACTGAGAATCTCCATAGACATTTAGTGGGGAGGTGGATCCCCAGAGGGGAGGATCCTGCATTCCAGGAGACTAAGAGACACTCAGTCCAGATATTTGGTGTGAGAGAAAGAGGGTGAAGACAGCCCCTCCCTAATAGTATCAAAGTAAATGGTAGATGCAGATAGCAGTGCTTAGTGTGGCAAGTTTGATGACAGGCCCCCAAAACCACTGCTTCATTCTTTCAAGCAAAGTGTTTATTGTGTCCACACTTATCAACTGAATCTTGTCAGACAAAGCATTCTACTATGTGAATTTTTAGGGAGGCGCTGTCTTCACCCTCTTTCTCTCACACCAAATATTGGACTGAGTTGTCTCTTATTCCCCTGGAAAGCACCCCCTTCCCACCCTGGGATCTGCTTCCTCACCACATTCCATCTCTTCTTCTTTGACAAGCACATATCGCAACCTATTGTAAGGATACAATTGGGAGAAACAAAGCTTGTGTAAGACTGCCAATGTGGTGCAGTAGTTGAGGTGTTGGCGTGGGACTGGAAAGAATCTGATTCAAGTCCAATCTCATCTATGGATGCTTACTTAGTGACTTTGTGGAAGCAATGCCCTTCCAGATGAAATAATTTCTGGGAGGGGTTCTTGTTGTGGAGATAAACTGAAGGAAAGAGCACTAAAATAATAATAATAATAATAATAATAATAATAATAATAATAATAATAATAATAATAATAATAATAATAATAATAACAACAACAACAACAACAACAACAATAACAACAATAACAACAATAACAACAATAACAACAATAACAACAACAACAACAACAATAATAATAATAATAATAATAATAATAATAATAATAATAATAATAA